GAGCAGGGAGCCTGATGCGGGACTCGATCCCGGGACTCCAGGATCATGACCTGAGCCGAAGGCAGTCGCTTAACCAACTGAGCCACCCAGGCGCCCTCTTATGTGTTTCTTGATGTACATGTGCAGAAGTTTTTCCGGGGTGGTGGCTTCCAAACCATTCTGACAATGTCCAAGAATAAGAAAAAATTTCCATCACAACCCATTAAAACATACATAGGTGAATATATAAATATGTAACAAAAACTTAAACAATACCCTCACATGACTGACACTCTTGGATCTTTTCTTTTTAGCTGGTGGGCCCAATGAATGAATTGATTTCACAACCTCTTGGCTTTGATGTAGTGTTTTCATTTCTAAGAACTACTGTTCTGGGATTGAGTTTATCCACGAGCATGCCTGGGCATAGGCTATAAGATGACCTAGGCACAAGAATGATGCCTCAGCCCTCAGGGTAGTGCTTCCCGAGGTGCTGGGTCACGGGGTATGCACATATTCAACCAGAAAACAAAGAAAGATAAACAGATTCTACAGAAACAAAAAGGTATCAGCAGTATATAAGTGATTCCAACGATACACATTCTCGGGGTGCCTGGGTGGTTCAGCTGGTTAAGCACCCAGCTCTGGATCTCAGCTCAGGCTTTGATTTCAGGACTGTGAGTTCAAGCCCCATGTTGGGACTCTACGCTGAGCATGGAGCCTACTTTAAAAAAAAAAAGCCAAAGAAAGAAAGAAAGACCAATGATAACATTTTCACCAACATTTGCTCTCTCTTTCACTGTGGTCTTAATTTACATTTCCCTGATCATCAAGAAGTTAAACATGTTCTATTTATGGATTATTTGTTTCTCTTCTGTGAAATGTTTGTTTATATCATTGCCCCCTCCCCCCCACCTTTCTTTACCGGGCTATTTGTCTTTTTCTTGCTGATTTGTTAAGAACTCTTGATAAATTCTGAATACCAATCCTTTGTTAGTTACATGGGTTACATATATCATTTCCCAGTTTGTGGTTTGGGTTCCCATTTTCTTTATGGTGCTTATTCCCCTTTCAAACTGCACCAAGGTAAACATGTCTAGCAGAGCTCATCACTATTTTTGGTAACACACAATGAGCATGTCAGGGCACGAGGGACAAGCAGGAAAAGATAGGAAGGACCAATCCTAGACTCCTGTGCTCAGACTGCCAGGGAGTCTGGTGTTTCTGCCCTGGGAGCCCCCTTTCACACACTGGCTGGAGCATACAATTATTGGAAAAATAACAAAGCCTTTTTATCAAAGGGCACAAAGAGTCTGTCTGGGACCCACACACATCTCTAGTGTGTTCTTATAAACAATGGACCACTTGTGCATCTTCTGTGCATGACAAGCAGGGCCTGGGGAAAATGCAGCAGAAAGACAGAAATGAAAGCTGGAGTAACCACAATGCACATGGGTAGCCTTTTCCCTGCAACAGCAACTCTAAGAGTCTGCTCCTGCCTCCTCAGTAGTAAGAGGAAGAAATCTGCCAGCCTGCAACCAACATGGAGGTGTGGAACAAAGACTGGGGAAGGAAGCTCCACATCTTCACAAGCATTATGCAAAAATCTAATAGAGCGATTATCTAGCAGAGGTCTATAGATGTGTTTTTTGGGGTAAGTTCTTGTTGATAATTTTTTAATTTACTGTTTCATTTCAATCACAGTTGTTTGGTTTTTCTTTTTTCTTTCTTTTTGTAAGTAAGCTCTTCACCCAACATGGGGCTTGAACTCACAACCCTGAGATCAAGAGTCCTATGCTCCAGCGACTGAGCCAACCAGGCACTCCTTTGTGTCTTTTTTTAAAGCATATTCTGGATCTTTTGAATGTTCATCTTATGACCAAGTGGCAGGATGTCAGTGTTCACATTTGTGTCCTCTATGCTGGTATCAATTAAACTTTAACTGTTGAAGACTAATGAGAATAAACAGAAGTGGACTTAATAAGTAAAAGTCGAACATCACTACCCAGGGGAACATATCCGAATGAAGGAAGGTTTCACAGCATTCAAATAAAGAAAAACGGTAGGAAAATGAAGTCATCACAGAGCATACAGCAGTGGTGAGGGGCAAACTGATTTCAACAAAGTAACATTAGCCATCACATTAAATTCACCAAGTCAATCTGAACTTTTGAGTCTTATCATTAGACTGATTTCAAATTATATACTGGTTTAGGTTTTATTATCATTCAAAAACCATCAGAAGGAGTATGACCTAGTTTTGTACTTGAATATATTTAAGTAAAAAAAAAAAGTTAACACTAGCAATATGGAAGAATTTTCTTTTAAAAGAGCTCTGTACATCATTCAGGTCTGAGAATCCAATTGTCTGAGACACCCTCCCCCATCAGGTCACCCATCTGCTGGAAAACATAGCTCACCTTTTTAACACCCAAAATATCTTCAATGAGGGTTGCTGTTTGTAAGAATGTTTTCTTACTCGTCATCAATGTAAACAGGAAGATCACAAAGTCATTCTTTTCTGCCAAACGCTTTGTAACTCCTTCCGTCTATCACAAGGGAAAAGGAGAGAAAAGGCAAAACAGGTTATAATCACAAAATAAAAAGTGAAAAGCAAGGCATCCCCCTTCTAGAAACTGGAAAAGCAATTCCAAGCTACATCAGGAATTCTTGGCAAAGGCCTTAAATCACTAAAACTACATACAAAACATTGTGTTCAAATGCATTTTGGGGGGAGGGGTTTTTTCACGGTAGGTTCATCATCGGTTCTTGACCTAGTATCTATCTGCCTAGTAACTAAATGAGGAGCTACAAACTACCATCCAGTAGGCCAAGTTTTATTTGGCCAGCAGTACATTTTAAATTTGGAATGTAAATGTCTTTAGGCAGGACATGCTTACTCCAGGTCAGCCACAGTCTGCACAAGTTTCCACCACAAAGCAGGCTCGGTCAGACATTTCTTGGTTTCTGCCTAATCCCTGGAATTAAGCCAGATCAGCACAGAATTGGACCATATCATCCTATGTTCTTTACATTTTTGTTTCTTTCCTCCTTCCTTTCTTTCATGAACTGTGTTTTGCTGGAATATTATTAACATTAGGTGTCATTAATAACAAACAACCTCATAAAACTAATCACTACAAGGAAGTTGCCAGTGATGGAGTCATTACATCATACACATGTCAGCTTTTAAAATAAGGACAAGTTCTTACTGACCTTAACTACAAGAGTAGCTGTGTGTTAGCTGAACTGTTAGTTTACTTTTATCTTACCGGTCTGTTTGTACCTATCTGTCCACTAGCTACATGTGGCTACTGAACACCTGAACCGTGGCTAGTCTGAACTGAAATGTGCTCCAGGTATAAAAAACACACTGGATTTTGAAAGCTTAGTACAAAAAAGGAGGTAAATATCCCATTAATTACTTACATTATTTACATATTGGAATAATCTTGATATACTATGCTAAATAAAATATATTATTAAAATTAACCTCACCTATTTCTTCCTACTTCTTTTCTTCCTTTCTAAAAAAATGTGACTATAAGGAAATTTAAAATAATTTTTTTTTTTTAAGATTTTATTTATTTATTTGACAGAGAGATAGCGAGAGCAGGAACACAAGCAGGGGGAGTGGGAGAGGGAGAAGCAGGCTTCCTGCTGAGCAGGCAGCCCGATGTGGGACTCAATCCCAGGACCCTGGGATCATGACCTGAGCCGAAGGCAGACACTTAACGACTGAGCCACCCAGGCGCCCCTTAAAATAATTTAAGTGACTCATGCTGGATTTCTGTTGCATGGGACTGTTACAGATGCTGAACTGTATTAAGTGCTGAAACTTACTTCCCTGTTTGTGTTGGTTGGTAAGAAGCTAAAACCCAAATTTGTGCCCCATCCAGACGACAGATGATTTTTTTGGTCAGCCCAATTCCTGCATATATGTTATACCCTCACCTTGTTCTACACTTTTCTTTCTTACCTACTTCTAAATTTATGATTTATGATCTTGGTAGATTTTACATATCACAAGAATGCCTGAAATCTTTCTGAATGCGGCCAGAAATGAGATGGAATTAAATGTTCCATTGTATTTTCATAACATAAAGGTTTCACTTCTATAGGAGCATTTGTTTCATTCTGGCGAGTATTATGATTCACTGCATACAGGTGACAACATAAGTTCCTAAAAGACAGGTACTGTGTCTTACAAAAACTAGCACTTGTATGTTGCTTTACTAAGTGCTTTCACATCTATCATCCCACTTAGTCCTCACAACAAGCCTACGATGCTAGTAAGATTACTGACTGCACTCTATAGATAAGAAACTAAAGCTCAGGAAGGTGAATTAATAAGCACTGAGCCAGGAGCCAGAACTCCAAATCCAGTTCTAGCACTAAGTGCAAGGCTTTTTCCTTTCTACCAAATTGCTGTTTTATTCACCATTCTTTCCTTTTCAGAGGTCAACCAACCAGAGTCTCCTGCTTAATACATTGGTGGGGCTTCTGGTTCCGGTTTTGTTTTCTAACAAGGAAAATGAAGGAACAGAAATAATATCTTAAAGGTTACACACACTCTTCCAGTTTATGTATCCACTTGATAAATGATTGGTCAGCGTCTGCTCCAGGGCTAAAGGAGATCACTACCTGCTGGAGCAGCCCTGACTCAACAATTTCTATGAAATTCTGCCTCCCCACAATTTCCACCGGCTGGTGCTGGTTCTCAGGCCCACATAAGTAAGTCCAATCCCCGCATGTCTGAGGATAGCTCTCATGTCCACCACCCCCACCTGAACTTTCCCCTCTCAAGCACTGCAGATGTGGCGGGGACATAACTGGGGCCCCAGGGGCAGGCATACTTACACAGACACACGTATTATACAGGATGCTCAAACAGTCCTTGGACATTTCATCACTTACTGAAAGTGAAGGGGGAATAATTGGTTATTTTTCTCACTGAAAATATGGCATAACAGAATTAAATTTTTTGAACCTTAGAACTGTTCCTCACAATCCCCTCCAAGATGATTATTTCCTTTTAGCATACCTCTTTCCAGTCCTTGCTTACCAAAGATTTTCACGATGCCCATCAGAACCTACAAACCAATTTGTATACTGATTTTTGGTTGGATGGAGTAGCCATTTTCTTCTTAAGCTCCATAGTCTTCATACTTTCAACCTATTGTGGTGTCATCTCTTAATAGCCATGTTCCCTTTGTAGTTTGCTTAGACTATGTCCAGGGTTTTCGGGGGATTCTTGTTTTTTAAATAGACTAAAAACAAACAATTTCATATATGTATGTGTAGCCTTTTTCTGCTTGTGTTGCGTCGGTTCCTCGAGAAACACTTCCAAAAGCAGAACTGCTAGAATCCAAAGTGTAAGCTTCCTGACTGCACGTTATAGATTTCCACTGAAGGTTCTACTAGCAGCAAATAAGGGTATCATTTTTACTAAAGACTCACAAGTGTGTTTTTGTTTTGCTTTTTGTTATTTCTGTTGGGGAAAGGTCTCTTAATGCCTGACCTATTAACTCCAACAAAGAACTAGCTATTTCTCTGTGAGCAGGAATGGGGAATACAACAAAAAGGAAACAATTTTTATGACCCCTGAGCCTGGAGAGGATAAAACTGAGTATGAACCATCAACAAAGTGTTTTTGCTCAGCATTACTTTTATTTTTAAAAACTATTTCCATTCATTCCTATGTTGCCACAAACTCTAAAATGTTAGGTCTCCCTCTGAGATATCAATGGGCAGCCCTGCCAAACTAGCCTGACCAGAAGGGTTATCTGATATAATCTGGAGACAATGCAGATGTCCCACATCCCTTATCACTACCCTTCAACCTGTGGGGGCTTTTTCATTTATCTCATGACTTCAGAGTAGGTTGGAATACCAGATCAGTGCATCTCTGCATTTCTAGACCTTTCATTTTCAAAAGGAATTGCAATTCACTCATTCATCAAATATTTATTCATCATCTACTCTAGAGCAGATAAAGAATACACAGTGGTTAGCAAAAAAAAATAAAATAAAAAAAGACAAAGTCTCTAAACCCAGTAGGAGGAAGAGAGAATAAATACACGACAATTACAAGATGCTACTTGCTACCAGTGTAGACAGAGAATACGAAGAACCAATTTAGATAGAGTACAAAGCTGAGACATCAAAGACAAATATGAAACTTCTTACATTGCTGCACATACAAATGAGGCCTTACATAATATGTTTGTTTGAGTTAAGGGGGGGGGATTTTTTTCAATTTAAAAAAATACGTATTTTTCCTTTTGCCTCATTGCATCTGAGAGAGCAAGATGGGTCCCCAGCAGCTCTCCTGGAGCCATCCTAGGAAGTTTGCCCACGGTTCTCCTTCTTGCCGCCTATGCTCAAACTGGTACAGTCTGATCAGGAAATACAGCCTCAATATGGGCCACCAGTATTTCTGTCAGTACACGAAGGATATAGGCTTCATTTAGTTGGATTAAGTAAACTTCTTTGAATGGGTCATCCAAGATACCTACCTCACCTGCAGATATCCAAGATATCTACCTTAATGCTAGCTCATTGTATATAAAATAAAAATACTTCAATTAAAAAAAATATGTATGTGATGTTTGTAGAAGGGCATTCATCAAATGTTAAAAGTGATTTCTGGCATGTATGTATGTATGTATTTTTGTGACCTCTGGCTTGTGCCAGAGTGCTCTTACTTTTTTTTCTTAAATACTGAATACCTAAAAATAATATTTGTAACATGTATAAGTTACAAGAAGGAATAATAGAATAATACCCATAGACCCAACACCCAGCTTAAGAAATAATGTGCTACCAAAACACTTTGACTTTCTAACCTTTACCATTTCTGGTAATGATTAAACTTTTTACCAAGAGCACATATCACCCTTACAACAACAAAAAATGTATGTATACTTTTTAAAATCAAATAAATGATCTTACCAGGTTACTATTCGTTACTCCCTCAATTAACTAGATAGGAGAAATAAGAATTTCCAGAGAAAACACAAAAGCTGGGCCCACGGACTATTAGAAACTACAACGATGCAATTCTTTTAGCCCAGTGGCTTTCACACGTTTTCGTTTAAAGCCCCAGATCTGTATTTCTACCCAGTACAAAATGAAGAAAGAGAGCTCTTAGGTGGGGGAGGAGAGTGCATGCTGCCTCTGAACGGAAGGCAGACCCTCACTGTTGAGCTAGGAGGGAAAACAAGAGAAGCCCCTAGAACCACATCATATCAGCAAGCTGGGAAAGGAGGACCAGTGGCTCACAAGTATACTTACTTTTCAGTTTCTGTCCCCGGATAGAGATTGTAGGCCTCATAAGAATTTCTACAAGGAGCTATATATTAAAAAAAAAGTTAACAATGAAAGAGAAGAAAATTGGGTAAAATCTTCAAAATTAACTCCAAGCACAACTTATAAAACAATCTTTGCCATGACAACTGATGACCCAAATATCTGTCATAGTACTGAAAGACCCTCTGGTTCCCAACACAGCCAGAAGGCGGTGAGGCTCGCGGGAATGAGCACTGTACCAAGGGCCAGGAAACCATAGTCACAGCTCAGCCACCTAGTCCCCATATCAACTTGGGCAAGTCAATGTCCCTCCATGGCCTCAGCTTTCTCATTTAAAAAAATAAGCATGTTGGACTAGATAATCTCTGGGATCCAATGTGGCTTTAATTTTTTAAAAGCTATAGAACAGGGCGCCTGGGTGGCTCAGTTGTTAAGCGTCTGCCTTCGGCTCAGGTCATGATCCCGGGGTCCTGGGATTGAGCCCCGCATCGGACTCCCTGCTCGGCGGGAAGCCTGCTTCTCCCTCTCCCACTCTCCCTGCTTGTGTTCCCTCTCTTGCTGTGTCTCTGTCAAATAAATAAATAAAATCTTTAAAAAAATAAAGCTATAGAACATTATCACGAGGATTCCTCTTTTGCTTTAAGAACATTTATGTTCTTTTACAGACATTAAGTTAATTAAACAGAATCTCAAAAGATACACGTATAAAACCGTTAATACAGATTTCTATGGGGGATGGGGATGATATGCATTCATTTTTCATTTTACATACTTTTTTTTTTTAAGATTATTTATTTATTTATTTGAGAGAGAGAGAATGAGAGAGAGAGCACATGAGAGGGGGGAGGGTCAGAGGGAGAAGCAGACTCCCTGCTGA